ACAAGTTCATACGCGCGTTAATACGTATTTTCGCTTTCCATTCAGAAGGGCAGACGGCGCCAAGGATATCCGAAAACATTCGAAACTTGAAGGAAGAAATCATTGAGCATAAAGTCGAGCAGAGAAACGAAGAATTGAAAAATGAAGTAAAGGAGGCAGTCCAAAAAGCGGTTGGGGCAGAAATCATTAAAAACCTCGACAACTGATTTCGGTCAATGTCGAATATCATTGCTGTTGTAAACGGCGGTTTATATATTTGTTTATGGTCAAATACATATATTTTACTGATTGTGAATCTGCCTACGTAATCGGCCTTAATTGTGTTAAGAGTATATCGTAAATGTACGTACTTTTTTTCTGAGTTCATGTACCATGCAGCTTCATCTTAAGGACGAAGTACTGCATCCGTCGTGAATATCCTTTACTGTAGTGTGCAAGTTTATTTCTTAAGTAAATTTTCTCGAACCAGTTATGCCTTCCAGAAAAGCACCTTCACCTCTTAGTCGCAGTGAACAGACCACGAACGTAGAAAGGGTCTAATCGGTTCGGTTAAGTACGGTGGGGCTTGCTGCGTTTTAGCCGTTACAGTAGCCGTAAATACCTTTTCCTGAGCATCGACACCGTCGGCCAACGAGATCTCGTGAATTACTATCAAATCCTGATTGGTGGTCATAACCACCCCTGGGCATACGAAACAGTTACCCTTGTTCAGCCGGTCGAAAACTGACCCATCCTCGTGGATGCCAATGGCTACGTCTGACCGCACCTTGTCTTTCTCTTGCTCGTAGAGACGGATAACCAACCAAGGCAAGCAACTACCATATGAAATGTGAACTTAGCCACTGCCACAGGATTTTGGCCCCTGCCTAGTCAACGCGGTGGTCTCTAGGACATTCTTCTGATTGATGCGACGGTTTTCCGTCAGTCACATGGAAACGATGTTGATACGAATTAACTTCAGGAAGAATGAACTGAAAGCAGACGAAGAAACACTTTCGAAACAGATTAAACAAAATATTTTTATCATTGTTCAAAGGTACACCGGAGACACTTATTTGAAACAGTGAAATAACTATCAGTAATAAAGAATTTTATTATCGAAAACGAAACAACGAGAATCCAACAAAAAATACAATTGAAAAATTCTACCATCTCTTCAGAGTTTCGCCAAGTCTAATTCATTTTACAGGAGATTTATTACCGCAAGATGGATCTGAGCGAATGACTGCTCCGAGGCCAGAGTTTGCCTCGAATTGCACTGCTTCCATGTCCCTAGTTTCCACATGGCATTTAAGAGGGCAGCAGTTTTTGAGTTCCTGCAGTGTCCGACAGATCTCGCACTACCTTTTTCCCTCGGAGGCCACCTCACGCTCATCACAAACAACGTTTCCGGAAGAGGTTCTCTTTATATACTGCCGCATAAACACGATTGTTCCCGATTAGCGCTAGATGGCCCTAGGGAACAAAATGAAGCGGGATGCATCTGGCACTGCAGGTGCCCAAACAACACAGAACCATAATCTGTCTAAATGGTCCAGACAACTGGGAGCAAGGGTCGATGCAATACGCTGCGAAATCTTGTCTCGGAGGAGTCGTGCGTTGTTTGACATGCTGAGGGGTACAAACAGCCTATGACGTTCATGAAATGGATCTTGAACCATTTACGCTGTGCTAATCAGACGAAGGAAAGTTTTGAATGTGTGTCTTCATTGAACTCTTATGATGGTGCCAAACTACGATCTCCATGCCATAGGTCAGCAGTGCCTCACTTTAAAGGCAGAATCAGCAGCGGTAATTAGCAAGCATTGGTTGTAATCTCCTGTTGTCCTCCCTCAGAGTAACATTCATTTATCAACTTCAGAAGGAACAGAAGCGAGTTACCCGACCTCTTCGTTTTTAGCCCTACAATCTGTCGACTGAGCAACTCCAATCTTTGACCAAGGACCATCCTTAAATTGAAAAAGCGTGAATCAGTGAAAAAATAGAAAGGTTATTTCATGCCATTAAAACATATCTGTTTATGAAAAAGACAGTATGGCTGAAATCTCTTACCGAAATATCGAAATATTCATTCGCAAATGCAACATGAACATTTTACGTCACTTTTTTCACCTATCGAAAATGGGTGATTTATATTCCACGTTGTAAAAATAAACGAGATTTCACTGACAAAGTTTGCTGGGATAAAATACGTAGTAAACAAAAAACTTATCGGTTTTTCGATAACTGTAAAATCTCTCAAAATCTATTCATTTCATTTTGAGTAATAAGAAGGTACTTGAAAGGTTCGGTCGTAATGTTCTTTACTACGGAAGCAAAAACGTAGGAAGCCTGCTCTACAAGAAGCATGACCTTTGCGTCAGCGCCGACCGTAGCCTCATCCATCAAATTGCGTGCAACAACTGGGATCATGTTTATATCAGCATGGCCTGCTGACTGTCAATGGTCTGATTAAAGTAACACAGGAGGGCCATTAGCTACCGTCGCATTGATCATTATGGTTTCGTTGGTCATGTCCTCAGAAATGATCATAACTTTGATAACAGCGATGTCAGAGTGGTGGATCGACTCAGTGACAAAATGAAGTTGTTGATAAAGAAGTCGTCTCCCATCGCAGCAGACAGAAATAGAACGTGTAGCACTTCTGAGCCGCCGTGGGACATCGTTAATGGCTTGACAAGGCTCTTAACAGTCGGCTAAAGCACTGACTGACCCAGCAGTCTTTTTTCGATCTTGTTCATTCCCTAATCATGACTGAAGCGTACATAAAAGACGTTTTTATCTTTCGTCCTGCCAGCCGTGAAACTGGCAGATTTATTGGCTTAGTGACTGCGATATTTTCTTTGTTTATTGTTGCTGATTTCTGCTGAAGAACGAGCGCCGTTATGGGTACTAAAAGTTTCATTAATTAAATATATTTTTCGACTTCTAGTCGTGTTTTTGTTAATCTGCCATTAACTATTAATCATATAGTACTACTCGCAATAACTGTAATGCTGGAGGTTTCAATGGAAGGCCGCATTGTAGAAAAACGCTCAAAAATCTGCAGATTGGTAGCTGTCGAACGCATGAATGTTTGCAAAAAGAAGCCTAATCGATTCTGAATTAAAATCTGTAAAAAACTGCTCAAAATTGAACTCTGTAAAATCGTTCCCGTAATTAAACGAATCAGCCCTTCTCATGTGGAAGTAAAAATATTTCGCTGTATGCCAAGCAACAACATGACGATGGCCAAACCATGAAAGGATGAAAAACACAGACGCTCCACTCCAATTGATATAATAAATACGACCACTGAATAGCCCTCATGTTTTTTATCCAGGCAAAAAGTCGTCATGAAAAGAGACCGTTGAGTATTTAATTCAACTAACTCTCATGTTCTAAGGGACAGTGGCAGAAAAATGGTCCACCAAGGATGGGCTGCTTGTAGTGCTGTATTGCTTTTGACCTTTTCCTCATTTGCTTCCTCCTACGGTAAGTCCAATACTCATTTGAAGTGTTGATTTTGTCCCAAAAGTTTCAGAGAAAGCTGGGCAGTGCCCAAGCCAGTCAAACAGGGAAGCCAGAAAATTACCGTGCAGGGTCGATATCGAATGTCACCATATCCTGAAATGCTGTTCCATCGGATCGGAGAAGAAATTCTGCACCAAGCCTGTACTCAGTAAGGGATATGATCGTATTGGTGCGTTTCGTTAACAGCAACCACACAGCTCAATGTCCTGACGGAAGAATGCCATTCAGATCCTGTTCCTCGTCGTCTCAGTGCCTTCCTGGCCACGAATGCATCAAAAAGCAATGTTGCAAGTCACTTGTTTCCCCAGGTAAGATCAGCTGGAGTTTCATATCATCCTGGTTGGCCGTCTCCAAATTTACAGTAAATTGTAATCGCTGTCTCCACGACTGTAGACATCTTGCTCCATCTGTTTCGCCTGTGTTGCCACCTGTTTCCTTTACCTACATGCATCGATTTTGATTGATTGATGTATCCATTTTCTTCGGTTCCATCAACTTAGCTTATGTAAGTCTGATTTTAGATATGCCAAAATCCGTCAATACGTCTGATCTTCAGAACAACACCGCAGAGGAAACAGCATCGACAGAAATTCTGAACCGTCTGAGGTCGCTGTTGGGTGAAACAGCGACTAATCAACCATCGAATACCATCGCTGACGGCATCTCCGAAGACCTACGGCCAAATGCGGTAAAAGCCACTGAAAGTAGCACGATGTCAGTAGCCGGCCGCAACACCGAAGAAAAGTTAAACGAGAACCCAGCTAGAACTTTCGGCGAGGAAGAGAGGAAGGCACTCTACGCTATTATTTCACAGATATTTCGTGGTAGAGTGACGAATGATGAAATGACTACGGGAAATTGACAGTACAGAAGCATGGAGTAATTTCTGGCAGACACCAGTGGTACGGCGACCGTTGAGAAACGTTAGTTTGGCATGATACGTTTTTAATGAGTTAGTGGTTTCATTCGCATTATTATTATAACATTATTGCATAAAAAGAAGTAAAGTTCATATTGGCAAAATATAGCTCTGATATGCCGGAGTAGCTGCCACATGACGGCTTTCCGATTCCGCCAATAATCATTGAACTTCAATTTCCGGTACTGGATTTACCTTGTAAATGGCGCACCGCTCTCTTGCTCCTGGTCTTCTAGGCAGACCATTTGAAAGGCCACTGATCTGCGGTGTTTAAACACCTGTAGTGCACTGAACGCAGAGCCATACCTCACTGTTGGGCTGAACAACGGCGCTTTCGAGCATCAACCAAATCTGACTCTATACCTAAGCAAATATACAGACGAAGTATAGCCATGAAATGATGCCACTGGATATAACAGCTTTCAAATTCTAGCAATCATTAGAATAGTTTTAAATATGGGTTTTCTATTGTGAGAAAAAAACACCGTCATTGAATCGAACGTTGGAAGAGCTGCTGCATATCCCATGCGTGTTAGGTTCCTCATGTGCTTCTGACCGTTTGAGGTCACCTTTCCTCTGTGTTCGAAAGATTGATGGCAAAGTGTTGATGACAACACGCCATTCATACGAAAAAGTAATGGACTTTATTAAATAACATAGCCCTCACTTAATGGACCCTCAGATAGTATTACTAAAAATGGCGGGCTTATTTAATACTTCGTTCATTTCAGTCGAAAGCGGAAGAAGCAACAAGTTCTGAGTCACGTCACTAGTTCTTTCTTCCTAAGTCGGTAGGAAAACGAGCTCCAGCTCACGGGGAAGAAACGGCACTGGTCTTGCAACGTAGCTGTAGATATTGCCATTAGAAATAAGGCATTCCTGCCTGATGGCATAAAAACGGAGATCAGCGAGGCGCCATCAGCTTCATGAAGCGAACGGTGCCACAAGTGGCAATCAATCATGACTCTGTTAAGGACAACTACTTCCCAATGGTTACATACTTTCTTGTCTTGTTGGTTCTGAGGAAGAGTCAATCTGCGCGCGTTCCATACAATTCCATGAATCCCAAACAACCGTTGACAGTATCTTCCCACTGACCGATCAATGAGCTACACAATTAGCTAAATTTCTAGCAAATTATTGCGACGACTCAGTTCTGATTTCGCTGAACATGCCTGAGTTCGTGGTCACTGCATTTCAACGATCATTCAGCTGAATGGAACCGCGTAGGCAAACGGCGTCTTCCCCTGTTCACCTCTGCGAAGATTTACACCAGAGTACATGGCCGTGGGTTTCCTGGGACTGCCGTTCCGAACGAAACGGCAGAAAAGCAAACAGGGTCCGTTGGTCCGCTCTTCAGGGCAAAGTCAGCAAATGTTCAACGTACAGTTATCGATCTAAATTTTGCCTTTCAACAAAGCCACGTATTTTTAAACATTCACATTTCCATGGGCTCCAACTTCATGGAGCTGTGACTTGATGAAACGGTCCCATAGGCAGCTAAGAGGTAAATGGGGAGCAATCTTCATCTAGAAAATTTAGCTAAGTGACAAAATCATCAGCAGAATCGAAAACTACCATCATTGTGTTTGACCCTTGAATACAGGGAGTCGTTTGGCGGAGTTTTCTTTCTGCTGACCATGGAATCGGTACACGTTTGGGCTTACAGGAATCAATGTAAAAATGTTAGTATCAGTTTAAGAACTCATTGCCAAGCATACGCTTCCCACTACTTTGGGTGCATTAAACCAAATGATCTTCTCGATAATGGAAAGATTCTAAGATCGGCGTGAATTGGCAACAAGATTAAAGTTTTATGGGCGGCCTTCCCTTGTGTGAATGATCCGGATTCACGAGACGCATTCATACCGTTCCCTTGTTTTTGGTAGCCAAGAGGACGAATTAAGTAAACCATAGCTTGATAGTATTTTAGCACCCCTTGTATATGCAGACTACTTTACTGAGTGGAACAAGACCTGTTCGATTATAGCAACGGATATTATTCATTCATAGACCTTATTCATAAAAGTTTAAATTCCTTCATAAGATTTCATCAAAATAATCCATGCTTCGAAATTTCATTGATTTAAATTAATCCTGAATAAATGATTTTTCTTTTCATCAACGTTGCACCTTCGCATTTGAAAACTGTTGTCCGTTCTTTGCAGAACATGCCCTCGTTATGAACGTTTAATTAGGCCATGGAATGTTCATTATTTCATTTAATTTGCAGCAGATCCGTGCTACGTTTGTTGAGGAACCACTTGGCAGTGTTTTTCGAAATCAGCCAAGCTGAGGTGCTGCTTCACGAGCTTCACTAAAGTGCCAGCGGCCAACGGCTGGAAACAGTCAGAAACAGAGGCTAAAATAAATGTCCAAGAAGCAGCTGCTTGCCGAGGCTGCTTCGGGGACATTAAAAGCTTGCCAATCGTCTCCTAGACTCGAAAACGAAGCCGAACGCCTGTAAAACATGCAGATGCCATCAGACAACGACGCCGCGAACACGGATCAGGTCACTGTTCGAACTCGACTCATCGCCGTAGTCATGCAAAAACTGACGATCGGCCTTTGCCTCGGTCGTCGTCGGTGATCGTCGTCGAACCTCGCCGCACGAAAGAGGTCAGAAAACGACTCACGGCTCTTCCCTCGCGCCCTTCAGCGCTCCGCCTCCTACTGCCTTAAAGTCCATGCATCAAGTGGTGGACGGATAAACGAAATCGACTTCCCGGCACGAAGGGCAAAGAAACAGCCAAACGAAACTGCGGAATTCACAAGAACATCGTGTAGCCATTAAGTGTTCTTACGTTACGAGTCAGCGAGATTTATGTTTCAGAGAATAGGTAAATTTTAGCCTCATTAGTAAGCCTGCAAGTCATGTTTTTGCCGTCAGCGATTAGGCTTAGCATCGAAACGCCACGTCTGCTGGTGTTCTGCAGTGAGACTGCCACCGTGACACAATGTTCATAATGATGTAGCTTTTGCTCACTCACAGCATGTGTCATGATACCAAAGAGCCTTGGCCTGCTTACGGAGACCTTACGGGCTGTTTTCGAAGACTAACAACTTTCTTCTAAACAGTCCAGTAATATCGGCGTGATTTTTATGTGTTATTTTCTCAATTCTTCCCATGTTCTGGTCCGGGAGAAGAAGTTTTCAAATTTCTCCTAAAAATTTCTGGTTGAAAAGAAATTTTTCCCCGCAACATGGCAAGGAACTGTACTGTACATGAAGAAAGCAACCTTACTTGTTAATTACTCCATTTAATTGTCATGTTTAGTCATTAAATTATGCATAGACATAAATGACGCTTATTAAGGTCGTATGGAAAACTCGTAAAACGTAGGAATGTTCATTATTGCAAATAAGAAAGTAACACCCTTGACGCAGTATATGTGAGCACCCATATTTTAGTATATGCGCAAATACATTATGGGTAATATACCATATTTAAAAGAGTAAATTTTTCAATTTCTTAATTGGTGAAAAATATGCTTAAACTAGCGTGCAAGTCACCGAGGTTACGATCGTTAAACCAAAAGCTTGACATCTGCGTTCATTTCTGATAGTGTGAATGATGAAATGCAAAGCTGAAGCTTAACCTCTAAAAATCCTGGGAAGATCATGGTAGCAGGCGAGTATCCGTCTCAGGTTTTAAAGCGGAGTTTCTCCACCATGATCTTGCAACAAGTTGCAGTTTTTAGTTCTACAATATTCGCTAATTTAAATCAGGCAGCAGATATTTTATCTGAATATTCACCCATAACCGTTCGCCTTTCTTGCAGTCGCTGAATGTTCTAACCTCCTCATGCGTATTTTTTGCCACTGAAAGCCAAAATGTCCAAAAATGTAATCTTCGTTAATCTCATAAATCTCACCCGCCGTTTGAGAGTTGTGTTATCCTTAATTTCACTGATATTTTCTGCAAAGGCAGTAAAATCGTACAGCCGAAAAGAGTCGGCAGAAACAAAGACCTTTCTCTATCGCCAAAGACAACGAAAAAATCAAAATATTTCGAACGTCATGTTTGCGCAGCAGTGATAAAGAGCATGCAAACATGATGAAACTGCCCCCCCCCTCTGTTTGTGAAATCTGATCTTGGTGAGTTATGCATTATTTGGTATACTCAAATGAGCAATCATATTTTCATGTTATGCAGTAGCTTATACGAAGTAAAAGGTCCAGAAGCATCGTTTGGAATAAGCGTGAGGAGGCTGTAGCGAAAAAATTGATGCGAGTGTATCTGGCACTGCAGGTGTTCAAATACCATGGAGCCGTGGATTGCTTAAATGCCCAAACTCCCAGGCAACTAGGAACAAAGGGACGGTGCAGTACATTGTGAAATTAGGCTACTGTAGGAACTATACCTTCCTTAATTATGCAGTTATTGATATATCACGTTACAGATTTAAAGTTAC